CCATAAAAATTAAAACCATAAATTAAATGAGTATTTATTTACTGCCCCGTTCGCTGCATTTGGCGCCCCAAACAAGTTGCCAGCCCAAAAGACCAAGACTCGCAAGCCATGCAGAAATTTAATTAACGCTTCTGTGTACATGGACTAGACACAGCGGGCGAGGGGCGCGGCCAACTCTTGGGGGTGGTGTGGCGCGACTAGAGAGCGCTTGTTGCATGAACATAATTAACGATTAATTAAACAGCGCCGACTGAAAGTCTTGCTGCAATCCCGACCTTGCCACATAAATTTACATAATTCTTTCTTGTTCGCTTCTCATACAAAACGCGACGAGAAACACTGAAAAAATAATAAGGAAATCATTTTGATTGCAATGCTAGTTAAAGAAAGTCTTAGTAGAGAATGTCTCTAAAGCTGAGGTAGCTTCAGCTTCTCTGCTTCAGCTACGAGTATATACTAAAATTATTCACTGAAGTTCCACTTGAAGTACTCAGAAAATGTTCTCTGACTTAGCTTATTTCATTATATTTTTAATTTTCCAAGTTTCACTCCTATAAAAATAATAAACTATTAATATGCGACCTTTACTTTATGCTTTTAAAAATATCTAAAAACCCAAACGTGATTTTTACGAATTTCGGCCAAGTTGTTTTCCGATTTCAGTTTCAATCTAATTTTTTTGTAGTTCTAACAACGTTTAATATGGATTTACGGTACTCGTTTATAGCCCAGATACAAATGCAAAAATGTGTATTTTTTTGTATTTGAGCATTTCCTGGATATTGGCCTTAACCCGATCGCTTGTAAAAAGTGAGTCCAGGCATATGCAAATACCAGTTAAGAGCGATCTGAGGGCATGTATTTAAACCGAAGTGGTCAACGTAATTGGCTCAACAAAGAGTTAAAGGCCTGTTTAGGATGGGCTGTGTGCCACGCCTGCCTGGCTCAAGCAGGTAGATCTGCTTGCCATAGAACGCCCACAGAAACAACTTGACTTGGGCCGAATGTCAATGCAGCAGGGGCATAATTTACAAGCTGGCCAGCAAAAAGTGCCACACAGTCGCAGCTAGCAGCTCGCAGATACAGATACAATTGTCGAAAGATGCACAAATTCAAATGAAAAACTTGCAAAGCATTTGCGGGTCAGCTAACAGGTCATAAATCAGCCGCAATGCAAGGGGCCAAGTTGACTGACCAACGTCTTGACTCCTAGCTCTACTACCTGTATTCCTAGGACTGTGTTTGTGTATGTATGTGGGTGTGAGCGCTTGTGTGTGTGCATCATAAACTTTCAAGGTCCGCCCGTGTGCGCATTCAATGGAAAATGCATTGCGGAAAAAGGATGTGCGCTGCACCGTGATCTCACCTTGATTTTTATGACATGTAAATATTTATGGTTGACACGACCTTGTCAATTCCCGCTCTGCTCTCGTATCCTGTCACTCACACACACACGCACACTTTTTTATGATTCGTCTGAAAAAAATTGTTGCCTGCCATTTGCCAGGAAAAACGCTGCAAAAATTTTATGATGCGCATAATTTTCCAAATGGTTTTCCTGTGCCTCGCCCCTTGAGCTCGGCTTGGTTCCGGTTGCCTACGCCGATGGCCATAAAAAAATTGACTTTATAAGCTGTCTTTGCGGATTGCAGCAATTGGCGAGGTCTCTTCATGGCCACACTCTTGGCCATTATCACGCCCATTTACGATCGCGACTTGCCATTTTCATATACACATCTTTTACGCCGCGAGTCACGCAATTATTATCAAAAAATTTGCATCTTTTTGCAACTTACCTGCCCGCCTCAGTTGTGCAATGTTGTGGGCGTGAGTTGGCTGAATGAACTGCAAATATTCTTACAGTAAAAATTGCGTCTGTCTAGGATGTTTTTATTAAAGTATGACTTCCCTAAAACGAACAGCAGCTAACGCTCAGAGTTTGATATTTTCATTTAGTGAAGTTCAATAGGCCGTTCAAAAGTAATGGGACGATTGAAACTATATATTTATTTAGAGATAGTGGGCTGTAGTGTGTAGAAAATAACTGTTTTAATCACAAATATAAAGGATCCTTCAAGCCTTTCAGCTCAAATTGTATTATGAAATTTAATTTCTTAAAGCTTTTATGTATTTTTTATTTATTTTATTTAATATAGTTCCTGCTTCGAAATAGTCCCACGCTTTTCAAGACAAACACCTCGCACACACACATTCTCTCATGCTGACACCACTCACTCAACAGTCACGGCACACACACTTGGACTAGGTGTATGGCAGTAGACTGAGCGACACTTGAGTCGAAAGAACCCCAGGCGCAAACCCGTGCACCGCTGGTGATCGCGGCATGTGCCAAAAGGCGTCCCCGGGTCGCTGGTTGCCCCGTTCCGTTTTTAGCTTGACTCGTGTCCAAGTCCAATGGGTCAGACACACGCCTTGTGGCCAATGTGTGCCACGTTGCTTGACGTTCTGCACGGGCATGACCTCTCTCGGCGCTTCTCAAAACATCAACTTGTTCGTAGCGAACTTTGTTCATTTACATTTTCCATTTGTTACCATTTCTCCCTGGCCGATGCCCTGCTGAGCCATCTTTTTCTCCATGCACATGAATATCTATGTTTATTTACATTTTTCACAATTCTAATTTGTTGCTGCCTCAATGCGAGGCTTTGTTTTTACAATAAGTCAGAGCGACAGACAGAGAGTGAGAGCCAGGAAAATTCTGCTGCAAGTTTATTGCAGTTTTCAATTTTCAAGTGGCTGCCACGACTGCATTATTTATGCGCCTCGTTCGCCATGTGCTAGAAATCCACTTGGCCCCATCAGCCAGCAGTCAGCAGCCAGCAGTCAACAGCCAGCAGCCATCAGCCATCAGCTAGAAGGCAACAGTTCAGTTCAGCTCGTGTGGCGAAAGCTGCAGTCGTCCTCCCCATCTCTGGATGCCGCCGATTGCTCTGCAATGTGGAGCAATGGCTTCATTTCAAATGACAACTGCCGCTTGATGCGCCGCGGGTTGGATCCCAAGTTGTTCGACTAGTGCGATTTTTTGCTGTTATTTTGTTGTTTTTTATGGTTTTGCCCAGCTCCAAAATGGGCAACGGCTGCCATTCAGCGCTGTTTGTTTTGACATTTTAATAGTCGCATCGTTTGGCCACTTTGATGGCCATTGCCCAATGACGTTTAATGTCACAATTTGCGCGACTCTTAATTGCCGCACTATAAGCTGAGGCAGCAGCTACCAGAACATATTCGAGCCATAACAATGATGTGGCATAAGGGACCTGAGCATAGACCAGGCAATACAGAGCAGCTAAGCAAAGAATATACTCAGAGAAGGCCTTCAGCACAGCTGAATAAAAATCAATTATCTAATCGCGCTAACAATTGGCATCATTATCGAAAGCCAATTAGTTGAACCACTTGGCTAAGAGAAACGCATTTTAGAACTGTGCGCCATCAATTGGCACCGAAATAGCGAAATGCGCGATCTTATGATTATATATTAGATAAATTAAGAAACAGCAAATCGTACGTTGCGGCGTCTAATGAAAATTTATGTCTTCATTACGCAACAGCGAAAAATGGTTTTTCATTTCCAATCAAATAAACAAATGCCTCGTATAGAAATGTGGCTAAAATCATTAAAATCAATAAAATAAACAGCGTTAACGCTGTTTTCAGCTGCAACCTGACATGGCGCCAGAGATGCTGAACATAAGACAGCTAAAGGCGAAGCGGATATATAAAATGGCCGCCCCAAAGTGTATGAAATATACATATGCTAAATGATAAATAAGCGTGCAATTAATGCAAGTTGCAAAAGCTCCACTTGCTAGTTGCATACAGCTCTACTTCGGATTGGCCATTGGCCATGTGACCAATAACAGCGACGTGCATCAGGCGCATGTCGCGGAACGCCCCATTCGATACTCACCCGTTTATCCACCCACATATGCAGTGGGTGTTCGATTTCGAGTCGTAACCGGTTCTGCTCGCTGTATGTACGAATGAAATGGCAATATGCGAAGCAATTCCAATTGGAGGTGATAAGTAAGTTGGAGAACTATTGATGCTACTCTAATGCACGGCGATACGCGAGTATAACAGCCATTTTGTATATGCTTTGCGCTCACACTTGCAGTGACGTCTGCACGTCACCAGGGTGAAATACACCACGGTCACAATGCAACAGAGTGTGTGAGGGAGAGAGAGAGACAGAAAAATATGACAACGCAAGCCTTGCTGTTAACTAACAGCATTTTCTCCGGTTTTAACAGTTTGAAAAGAGGATCACATTATGGCCATCTCCATAGTCTGAAAATCTTAAGTGTACTAGTAATTATTAACCGAAAGAGCTTTGAATTACTACGCAAAATGTAATAAATAGATATATTAATGTTTGAATAAGCAACAAAGCATATGGCCTACTATTATTTAATTATCAAAAATATTACAATTATATTAAAGATTTTAAAGTTATCTCCTAACAGAACAGTGTCGATTAACAGCAAACTCACCTGCCTTATGTTAGGCCTGACAGAAACCCACCACACTATGTTAGAGCGTACTCGCTCTCTCTCTCTCGCTCACTCACACTAACGCTGTGCTGCGATATGAATGGACACGCCTACGATTGGTGGTTGCTCTCATATAAATGTTTGTGTCTGTGTGTATGTTGTGTAGCCTGTTTTTTTGCTGTGGGCACAGCCCAATGTGCGCGCACACACAGAGTGGAAAATCAGTTCGCGATGGAACTCTGAGCAATGCGTTACAATTCAGTCCTGCTGCGAATCTTGTGACGTTTAGACGCTGAACGGTTATCGCGCGTGTTTTTAATAAGCAGACAACAGAAATAAAAATTAAAACGCGCGCGCGTTGTGCCACACGAAATATACGAAAGCTAAAGCGCTAAATATACATACATAAAATATATATACAGATATATACAAATAGCTGGCTTAGTGTGCATTGTGTGTGTGTGTGTTTGTGATGGGAGCCACGTTCTGAAGCGTGCGTTTCTGTGTTTCTTTATTCAAAACTTGAGCCAATTGCAAAACTTGTCGAGACAAAATGATGATGAACGCATTTATAGAGCCCGCGCAGCATCATTTGGCCAGCTATGGGCTGCGCATGTCGCCGAACACAACTGCCAGCACAGTCAATAACAACAATCAGCAGCTGGAAATGCAACAGCAGCAGCAACAGCAGCAACAGCAGCAGCAGCAACAGCAACAACAGCAGCAGCAACAGCAGCAACAGCAGCAGCAACAGCAACAGCAACAACAACAACAACTTGAAGGCGATTCTACATCGCTTGCCGCAGCGGCGGCTTATCAGAATTCCGGCTATGGACATTTCAATAGCTATGCCTCTCGAGACTTTCTGCTGGGTCGACGCGGCGATGCTACGGACTATGCCGGGGCTGCTGCGGCTGCAGCTGCCACAGCGCCGACTGCGGCTGGAGCGGATTCGATGCTTTTTCCCAGCTTTCCGGCCCAAGCGGCCGCCGCTGAGCTGAGCAGCAGCTTTGGCCAGCATCCATTTCACAGCGCTGCCCATCATCATCACCAGCATCAGATGCGCATGGCGGACTATGCAACACATCCGTACGCCCAGCATCATCATCATGGCAATTTTCCGTCGGCAGTGCATGCGGCACATCATCATGCCGCGGCCGCCCATGCCCACGCCCATCATCCGCATCATGCGATGTCGGCGATGCATCCGGCTGGGGCTGGTGCCTTTCTGCGCTACATGCGACATCAGCCGACATCGGCGGCATCCAGCGTTAAACAGGAGATGCAGTGCCTGTGGATAGATCCCGATCAGCCGGGCATGGTGCAGCAGTCGCAGGGTGCGCAGGGTCGCAAAACCTGCAACAAGATCTTTCACTCCATGCACGAGATCGTGACGCATCTGACCGTGGAGCACGTGGGCGGGCCGGAGTGCACCACGCACGCCTGCTTCTGGATTGGCTGCTCGCGCAACGGCCGACCCTTCAAGGCCAAATACAAGCTGGTCAATCACATACGCGTCCACACCGGCGAGAAGCCCTTCGCCTGCCCCCATCCCGGCTGCGGCAAGGTGTTCGCGCGCAGCGAGAACCTCAAGATACACAAGCGCACCCACACGGGTAAGTGTTACAGTTAGAACCAGCAACATCAGATGCACGGGGTTTAACCCCTGGGCAAATCCCTCAGCCATGCAGACGGTGCATGCCCACGCCCACGCCCTTGCCCACGTTCACGCCCCCTGTTACCTGACCTAAGTTCCTTTTACGATCACCACCTGTACGAGCTAAGGCTAAGCCTTTCGCGCAAATCCTTAACAATATTTTTGTGTGCCGATAAGTCCCCGAAGGGCTTGACTTCAACTTCGACTTCGACTTCGACTTTTCAGCGGTTTAGCCAAGGGATCTATGTGGAAATCCAGTGTTCTATCTGTTGACTTCTAACAACTATGGAGCTGGGATAATCACAACGGTTGTTAACAAGTTCTTAAGCAATTGGCCTTATAGTAAAGAAAAAGTATTTATGCTGAGTTCTTAAAAACTCAACTGAAAAATAATTCAAAATATTTTGTTAAATATGAGAGATTGAAGTAAATCGAATATTGATTAATTGTCATTATTATTAGATAAATTCCGTTTGAGTTATAGCATTTATCATTGTCAAAATATCATTCATTCATCATGAAGTTTATTTATATAAAAACTAGCAAAAATGCTCCAATTCCTGAACTATTTTAAGCTTTGTGTTATAATCATATTGAAGATGCTTTCCATAAATCTTGTCCCCGCTAGTCTTATCTCTATGCATCGTTCTACACCCGAGCTTATCACGCACACATCTCTAAGACTGGCAATTGTTCGACTCGTCTCACTTGAGGTCAGCCCACATATCATTTTGGCAGCTGAACGACTTTTGCTTATGCTCTTGTTCGCAAATAAATTGCGCACATATAAACGCTTTTGCATAAACTAAATCAAAAGTTTAATGTAGCATGGCGTCTGCCCAAAATATTTACACACACGCACACACACCCAAGCATCGCGCCCGCTTTGACTGTGAATTGCGCTGATTTTTGTGATTTTACCCCAGTTTCGATTGGAGTGCAGGGCACGAAGTGGCTAGAAGTATTTCCGTGCGATTACAAACGGAAGTTTTGACACGTGTCAACACACACACATCCACACACTCGTACAGTCTCAAGTGTGTGTCAATGTAATAAAAACAAACACCCAGTCAGGCAGTTAAGAAGAACCAAAAACGTTGCTGATTGAATTCTGATTTATATACTAAGGAGTGAGAGGGAGGGTGAAAGGGAGACGGAGAGGTAGCGAAGGTAAGAGTGCGAGCGAGCTAGCTAGAGTGCGGTCTGCTCTGCCTCTCAGGTCAACTGTCAGTGTCAGTGTCAGTCGCAGGTTAAAGGCCTCTCCTACTATTTTCAAACTCTAATGAAGTTGTGCCGTCGGCCACTTCAATAACAAATTCTCCATAAGAGCAGAGAAAATGTAAAAAAGAATCTCTCAGCCAATCGTGTACACAAAATATTTACTTTCTGCTGCATCATCTTAGAAATTAGACAAAAATATAATAGAAGCCTAGAAAAAGATCGTTATGCTACACACATACATACACCCAATGGCTGTGCGTCATACAAGGCGCTCGACTATGGCGTCTCTGGCCTCAAAATCGAATCAAACATTTTAATTACCTTTCAATGAGTGTGCAAAAGAAATTTGTCTGTTCGATAAACTCAAAGAAAAAAGGCAGCGCAATAAATCGAATATCACAAATGATTTGTATTTCGATTGTGTACAAATTTCAAGCTCATTAAATTTTTTGAATATTCATTTGAGTTTCTGTATGTGTGTGTTTGGATGTGCATCTGTGTGGGAGTAAACGATTTTTATTAACTCTCAAATGAAACTGCTTTAGATGCACAACTTTTATTTACTCACATTTGCGTAGCTTGTTTTTAATAAAAAGAATATTTATTTAAGTAGTAGTATATGAGATTTAAATAGATATTATTTAGGATTTTAGCTAATATTATTTATTGATTCAATCAGCTTTTTTGCTTTGGTTTTTTTATTAATTCTTTACTTTTGTCTTGTGTTGTCTTCTTTTTGTGAGCTTAACGTCAACACTCCGCATCAACATTTATTTTATTTCGTGTATTTGTTTATTTATTTTTTACTTATATGAATAATACTTTTTGTTTATGTGGCTAAGCCATATTAATGGTTCGATGTAGCGCGTAGAATCAACAAGAAGTCCGGCTGGAATTATACAGTGTATAAGAGGAATAAAAAAGTCAATATGATTTACTCAGTAATATGTGAAATGTTTGTGATATTTTGCAGGGTTTTTTTCTTTTCTGGAAAAAAGTAATTGTAATTGTAATTAAAAATGCCTTAGTTATCGTTTTTCCATTCGTAGCTTTAAGCTAACATGCCGACAGCGTGTTTAGTTCATTATAAAGACCGAAGGTTTTAGTGTCTCTAGCTAACATTAAAAACAATTAAACAAGCAATTAAAAACACTTATTGCATTGTTTTTAGCACAGAACACAACCGAGGGGAGCGTGGCTCATGATGTAAGCAGAGTATCGAACCCAAATATAATTGCTTTAAAATTGCGCCACTCGTTTTAATAAACCAAACACAAATGCCATTTTAAACCAAAACAAAAAACAACAGCTCAATAATGAAAATGCAAAAACAACAGCTGCAATAGCAGGAGCAGCAGCAGCAGCAGTAGCAGCAACAGCAAAGCGTGCACCAAAATGAAAGCTAAGCCAACAAAAACAAACAGCAGCAATAACATGACGGAGTGCTAAGGGAAAGAGCGAGAGCACGAGAGAGTGGGCGTCGTATTATCCTTGTTTGCCCTTAACACAGCCTTCGTTTATTAAAAGCGCGCTCTGCATACAAACAAACTCCAACACACACACACGAGCATGCATACAAATACACATAGAAAGCAGAGATTACGGCCTAGGGTAGGCAGCCAGGCAGGCAGCTAGACAGCAAAAAGCAACAACAACAACAACCGCTACAACATGTACGCACAGGCCATCCACAAAATGGCGTTTATATTGCTTGGCATATTTTACGCAGTTTGTTTGCTTTAATTTTAGCTTTCCCCTCCTTCCCTCCCGCTCGCACCATAGTGCCGTGAGTTTTAACAAGAGTGTGGTTATTTTTTTCAGAATGCCGAACATAAAATACCCTTGCGGATTGTCAGTTAATGAAATAAGAATAGTTATAATTATGTATCCTATAACTAAAATGGAATGGAATACATGATCCCATTATAACTGTTCAGGAATATTATTGCTTTGCTTTGTGTGCTTTCAAATTCTCCTCAAGACAAGCCTATCAAACTCATTGCAAGGGTATTATTGTTTTTTTGTGGCTTTCATAGCAAATATATGCGTAAATAATTTTGTATATTGTATTAAAATATTTTTCAGTATTTTTTAAAGTTCTTTTAATATCGGCGAGCTTTGGCATAACTCATAGTTCATAGTGTATATTTATGTTCTACGTACAATCATGATTAATGTGCTTTGAACTCAGAGCTTATGAGTTTTCTATGAATATAAGTTAACAGTTTTTATGCGCAGCAAAAACAGTTAGTTTATATATTTATTTTATTTTGCATTTAGTGCGTAGCTTCTGCTGCAAAACTGGTTACCAACGGCGAAAAACGGACATTCCTTTCGATAAGAGTTGTAAGTTACTCGGCCTATCGATTTGCCCATGCTTCATGCTTGATTGCTTTATCATTCTCGATTGCTGCCTATCGACTTTTGGCCATCGCTAATATAATACATCTTCATACGACTGCACTCTTCGTTTCTGTAGCCTTTCCCTGTTAACTTTGCACTTGTCATTTGCTTAACGCCTGCATTCTATGTGCTCTCAGTCAAACAACAGCAGCAGCAGCAACAACAACAATAACAACCAAATGAAAGAGCAGCCAGAACAATCAACGTTTGTCTGCTTTGTTAGTGCTCTGCCTGCCAGTTGACACCTTGCCCAACAGCTTTTGTCTGTGTGTGTGTGTGTGTGTATCGAGTTGGGGCTACATGAATGGCGTTTATCATGGTATGCGGTTTTTACATGGCTCACTCTGTAGCTGCCCTCTCCTTCGCTCTTTCTCTCTCTTTCACACAGTCACTCTCCATCTCAGCGCTGCTCTGCAGAGTTTTATTTTTATTTGCGATGCACTCCTGCGGCTGCTACACCACAAACAACAACTTTATTCATTAACACCTACAAAAGCCGGAGCAGCTGGTCCCAAATGGCCAACAACTTTGTGGTTAGTTTTGCAGTTACCGCTGCCAGCCAAGCTCATTATGTTTATGTTGACACCCCCTGCCCTACTCCCCCACTCCAGGCCACCCGCTTTCGCATCTCTTGGCCTTTGGCAAGTGCAGCGGCTCCTTGTTGTTGTGCATTTAGCCATGTCCTTGCTGCTGCTGGCTGTGGACCCTTGTAAACGTTGATTAGCTGCTGCTTCCTGATTCCGCCACTCGATTTAATTGTGCTCAAGTGATTTTTTAATGAGTCTTTTATGAACTCGTCTTGTAGTGGAAAAAAATGAGGAAAGAACCACTTCATTCGCGTCACCCTGTTCCCGCTACAATTCCTTTTTGCGCTCGAAGTCAGCGAAAATTGTTGTGAGAGAAGTTTATTACAGTTATTTAGATAACGAGGACACATAAAGTATATCAAGCTATATCGTGCTGTTCGTATGAACTTTTAAATTTAAGAGAATCTCAGAGCAGGACACCTCAATCAAATATAGTTGCTTCTACGAAAAACATCAGTCCGATCTGATCGATTAATCGGCTATCGATAACTACGTCCACAGCAGCTGACAGCTGCCATATACAGGGTACAGCTTTGCCGTGCTTTCAAGTTAACAGCCTTGTAACAGCTATGTTAGCTTACAGCGCGCTGTTGTTGTTCACCTCGGCGCCAGGCACATAATTTTTCAAATGCGAGACAAGATATCAAACGCTGCAAATGTCAATGATTGATGACTTTATTGCTGGGTTCAACGATTTTCAAACAAACAAGGCAAAGACAGTGCGACAAACGGGTACACCGAGAGACGG